CCCTCCATTCTCCTGTGTCGCCTGTCATTGTTGCTAAGACGCCTTCGAATGAAGCTACTGAGGGGAGCGCCGTGCAACCGTTTGCACGCGGAGGCAAGTGGGGTGCCCCGAAAGAAGGCTGCCCCACCACGGCCACCAGAGGTGGGCACCACGAGCGTCCGATGGGGTCTGGAGCCCTCGCTTCTTACACCGCCGAGAAGTGGACCTCCGCGGCCACCCAGCTGAACAGCACTCGGGCGCCGAGTGCTGGGGCCTGCGCGGGCCGCGCGGGGGCTGGACACTGGAGTCGGTGGCACCGTGGCAGCCAATGCCTCTGAAGGCAAGCGGAGCCCTCTCCAGCATGGCACGTCCCTCCAGTCCGCATCCTGCTGGTGCTGAAGGCCCACTGACGTGGGGCTGAGGTCCGCACCCCACCTCCACCCCACACCCTCCTCCTGTGTGCATATGATGTGCATAGACCCCTGCACCGGCTCACAAGGAGGGGTGGACGCTGCTTAACTTCAGGCAGCAAATGGCTTTACTGTTAAGTTTGGAAAACGGCCACGACTGACGGGGAAAAAGTGGTGCCTCTAACGTGCCTCCTGAAAACACTGCAGTCTGTGATGTGCTGTCTTGAAACAGCTTCTGCCTCTCCTCTGAGGGGTGCTGCTCTGTGGAGCCTCCTGTCGTTGTTTTAATGCCAACACGGTGTCGTGTTGAGTGGAGCTTTTACATTTCCAACTTGCGTTGAGAGAGGAGGGGTTTGTTTAGGAGGCTGTGGTTTGTGAAGTTTTAACATGCCCCCTCTCTGCTTGCTCTGCAGAAAAGCAAACTCAGGCTTCTGCCTCATCAGGCAGAGCAGGAGGACTCCACCAAGTTCATAGTGCTCACCGTGGTCTCCATCGCCGGCATCGTGGGGGTCCTCCTGGCTTCTGGCCTCATCTACTGCCTCCGCCACAGCTCACACTACAAGCTCAAGGAGAAGCTGTCGGGCCTCGGAGCTAACCCTGGGGCAGATGCGACCGCGGCCTACCAGGTAAGAAGAGACTTTTTAAAAAGTTCTGTATCTGTTTTATCAGTTGGACAGAGACTGTTTGATTCAGTTGTTCATTTATTCATAGTTTGGGTTCTTTTATGATGGCGATTTGAAACTTCTCTTTAGCATTCATGGAAATACCTTGCAAGCACAGTTTTACGGCCCTATATTCATCCTATGCTGTTCCTGGGTAGTCTCATGTTAGCTGTGAAAGCAGGTTGCTAATTAGAAGTATGGAAAAAGTACAATGCATGAATTATGTATTATCTGTTATCTTTCTTATTTTGGCCACTATTCATGAAAAATGTCAGAGTTG